TTTTGAGTACCTACTATCCATTACTGTTTTTCAGCAGTAGGTATATTTCATTGAGCCAGTAGACAATGAGTGTTTAGACCACGCTTTGTACCCATACACACTCACATACATAAGATTGTATCTGTTTTCTGTAACGGTATTAACATAACAATAGATTCGAAATATAATGAAACGAGCACTCTGAAAGTTCAGTTGCGCTAGTGTATACGAGGTTATAAGGCAAGACCAGTGGCGTCGCTAATACTGCTAGTGTTATCGCTACTAGGAGACGGAAAGGCAAACTGTCTGTTTGCCTTCTAGAATGTTTGTAAATATAGCGAATGAAATAGTCGGTTGACCGTGTAACGCAGTCACTAACATCCGCCACAACTTAGTACCTCTCTATTTTGAATGAATGGATCATCTAAGTCAAAGATTAGTCCATAATCTCCATAGATTTGACAACAGTGCGATCTGGTCTACCGCCTTATCGACAGTACCGACCGCCCAGCAACTCGGCGTTGCATACATGAATACGCGCATCATCATTCAGTTATCCCTTAGCATTTGAAGCAGAGTGGCGTACGCTCGTTGATTTGTCCGGCACGCGTATATCGAAAACATCATTTATGTTTTGAGTCAAGTGTACGAGGAAATCGATGAAGTATGAAATATGGCTACTAGATGCGTAAAATCACGGGTTGGAAATGTATGAATTGCAAGCACTAAAAAACTGACATTTACTCTCCCTCACCCTCTACAATCTTCAACATCTAATTTTTGACCTCTGCAAATCTAAAAAAAAACTACGTTTAAAAGTTTCTCACTATTTGTTTTTGGTCTTTTTTTTGTGTGCTTTCCAAAAATTACAAAGCTTTTTCGTTCTTGATACAGTAGTAACCTTGTGTCAAGGATTAGCGGACAGACAGACAGACCGATGAAAATGAGTTCCATTGTTTTTCGCGATTTATGTCATATAACATCCAGAAAATATAATATCCCATTTTCGAAATTGTTCGCCATATGCAACCAACAATGTGTAGTTGAGTCATTCCTCCATAGATAGATGGACGCTGACAGCGGTCATAACGAGCAATCGTGGAATGAACTATACTAAGTGACATATAAATCCGAACACCCAGTTTAAATGGTTTTATTTTAATAGAATTTTGTATAAGTACTTAATGAAGCATAATAAGTAAATGATAAAAATTTCAAAATGATTGCACTGCTTTAAAGCCCTTTGACCTTTAATAATGTGTGGATGCACCCTGATGTGCTACGCATTCTCCAACGCGCCTAGGCATGCTTCTGATCAGGTGGTCAATGTCCTCCTGTGGTATGTCATTCCAGGCAACCACCAACTCCTCTCGAAGAGCTTCGAGAGTCTGAGGAGGACGTTGCAAATTGAGCAATCTCCTACCCATCATATCCCACACGTGCTCAATTGGGGATAAGTCGGGAGATCTTGGTGGCCATGGTAAGAATGTGACATCATTATGTTGAAAGAAGTCTACTGTGACTCTTGCAACATGTGGTCGGGCATTACCTGGTTGGAAAGTTGGATCTGCCAGGGTGTCAAGATAGGGTAAAAGATGGGGTTCTAGAACTTCGTGGATATAACGCTGCGTGTTCATGTTACCTCTGATGAAGATTAAAGGTGACCTGGAACCATACGCTATAGCACCCCAAACCATAACTCCAACAGTGTGATGAACATGTCTTTCAACAAAAAACTGTGGATTCCTCCTTTCACCACGTCGCCTTCTAACCCTGGTACGACCATCGTGCATGCCTAAACAAAATCGAGACTCGTCACTAAAGACAATATTGTTCCATTCCTGATCCCAGAGTGACCGTTGTCTGCGCCACTCAAGGCGATTACGTCGGTGTTCTCGAGTTAAAGGGAGGACCCAGTGTGGCCGGTATGAAAACAAGCCAAAACTTCTCATTCGTCGGTAAACACTTCGCATGCCAATAGGTCTTCCGTGTTCTGCAAACCATTCATTTGCAATGGACCTGGTAGTGGAGAAACGGTCCCTTAAGGCCAATAATCTTAGGCGGCGATCTTCACGGTCTGTTGTTCTACGGCGGCGTCCAGTGCCCCTTGCTCTTTGCGTACGGCTTTCTCGAAGCCATGCCTGACAGCACCTAACCACAGTGTCTACACTTCTTTGCACTCTAACTGCAATTGCCCGAAAATAAAGTCCAGCTTCCCGAAGTCCCACTATACGGCCCCTATCAAACAAGTTGACGAAATCGTACAGGTCTCCGTACTCTAGGCATCGTAACCGATCGTAAAGGATGTCAAGAACCAACATCCGCCAACGTTGATTCTTTACTGCGGCTGAAATATTTATTTTTAGAGCGTTAGTGAATTAAAAAAAAAGCAGTATAAAAACCGGAATGTCCAACTGATAAGGCTGAAAATTTTTTCACTTGTTATTTACAGTAAGATAAATACATTCACCAACTTTTATTAAAATAAAACCTTTTAAACTGGGTGTTCGGATTTATATGTCACTTAGTATATTTACACCTTAAAAACTACCTGGTCTGCAAGATGACATTTTATAATTTTTTTACGTTTTATAGTTTTTTTACATAATTGCTGGAATGAACGACGAGTCTTAGGCTGGCAGTTTTTAACCCAAATTCAACTCCACGACACGTTAGGATTTTCTCATGGTGCAAATAGTGTTGTTCGGTTATAACCATTGAGGATAAAAATAAGATATTTACATAGCATAACCGTGTAGTTGTGATAATGACAAAATTTTCATCTGTAATTTGAGCGGACAATCGTTTCCTGATGTCTTGATTCGAATCTGACATCACTTTGGCGCTGACACCAATTAAGATTATTTGAAGGACATGATCATGTTTAGCGACTCAAGCTCTAGCAATTTTTTTAACGAAATTATAAATTTTGCACAGCAAGCCGTAATGTTATAAGACTTAAAACTTTTGATAAATTTTTGCGTAACTGGCCGAACATTGTGTAGTTAAGATCGCATGTCCCTTTTTTCAACTGTCTTTTTGGAGATGGCTAACAAAACAATTTTATCGATTTTTTTCTGTCAAAAAATGCATCTTTCATGCATTTTTTTCAAGCGTGACTTGTTAACAAATTAGTACAGCCTTGAAATTGTCATGAAATTCTTTCAACAAAAACTATTACACGTTTTGAAATTTTAAAATATTTTTTTTAATATCCTGTAATTTTTACAACTTTTCTGGACCAAATTTGTTTTGAAACAGTCACATTTTCAATCCGACCAGTATAATTTTTCACTTAAAACAGCGAGAAGCCCCCATGAAAATCATTCCAAATCTAAATTTTAATGAAAACTCATTCTCGCGTCTATGTTCGACATCCTGTAGTGTGAAAGAATCGAGCATAAAATCAAAATAACGTTAAAATTTTGCACATTCACTGTTACGCTACTGTTTGAATGGTTATAGACAGAGTGCAAGCCAGCATACAGGCATGTCAAGGCTGTCTGGTATTTTACTTATCCTGGAGCGGATCTTACCAGCTTACTTAGATGACGCTAAAGCTAAAGGAAAAGTAAGAGGATGTAGAAGAGAACGCACGCTGGTTGAGGTGCATCTCTCAGCGAAATGTTCCGTGAAATTAATGTCACCTTGAAATGCTGATAATATTCCACCGATGGACAACTTTAGTCAGGATAGCTCCAAAACTAGACAGCTGATATTGAAAAATGCAAAAAATCTTATTTTGGGCGAACAGAGGTACAAAAAATTGATGACAAGCTTTACATTATAATTTAAAATTTCCTAACCTAGAGGCATTCGTAGGAAAAATTTTCCAACTCGATATTTTGCTTTTGGATGCCCCTTAACATAAATTCTGCTCTTCTGATGTTAATTATATTGTTGATGTATTTTATGGCAACATTTTCCAAATTTTTGACAGGCACATACCTCTGTATAAGAATTACAGTCACCGATACCCGCCTTGGTTTCACTCAGCTATTATTAAGAACATTAAACTTAAAGCTAAATTTAGGAACAAAATCAACAGGTCTGCTTTTGTTGATGATCTACAAGAATCCAAACGTTTGCGCCGCTTGATAAAAAACCAGATTAAATCAGCGTATGATCAATATATTGAAAATATCCAGAATTCTTTAACAATTAATCCCAATGCTTTTTGTTCATACGTTGACTCCAAAAACAACACATCACGAATCCCAGGGATAATGAAATTTCAGAATAATTCTATAGATCCGCCTCAGGATATAGTAAACGCATTCGGTGAGTTTTTCAGCAGCGTCTATGTCCCTCACAAGCCCCATAATAATGCCTCACTAAATCATAGTAATTTATTTGTCCATTTTCATCCAATTGAGGAAAATGAAGTCAGGAAGGCCATTAAATCACTAAAGGATAAGATGACATCTGGTCTAGATGGCAGCCCGTCCTTTATAGTCAAAGATTGTGTGGAAGTGTTTGTTGGTGTTCTAACTAGGATTTTTAATATTTGTCTTATAACAAAAATACTTCCAGATATTTGGAAGATCGCTAAGGTCTGTCCAGTGTTTAAGTGTGGGGATAAGTCAAATAGTGAGAATTACAGGGCAATCTCTTATTATGCATGTTCTCGAAAGTCTTTGAAATAGTCTTGTACAGTCGCATTTATACTGCCGTCCAGCGTCAGCTGTCATTGCATCAACACGGATTTGTCGCTAATCGCTCAACAACCACAAATCTATTTATAATAACGCAGTACCTCTCGGCAGCCATTGATAGTAATGAGCAAGTTGACGTTATTTATACCGACTTTTCGAAGGCTTTCGATAAAATTAACCACAAAACTTTATTAAATAAGTTAGGTGCCAACTAACCAAGTTCACAGATGATGCTAGGGAGTTGATGAAATCTTACTTATCCGATCGTAGACAATTTGTTAGCTATAATGGCTTCCAATCTGAGACCTACTTGGCACCTTCTGGAGTTCCTCAGGGGTCCAACCTGGGACCATTACTGTTTTTGATATTTATTAATGACCTCTGTGACCCAGTTGAATGTGAACGCCTATGCTTTGCTGAACCTAAAAATTTATTCGCAGATAAATACTCCTGATGAATGTATCAAGCTACAACACCAATTAAATTTTGTGCTGTCTTGGTGTGTAGAAAACAAGTTGGAGCTTAATGTGAGGAAGTGTAAAATAGTCAGCTATACCAGGAAAATTAATGTTTGCGAATATCCGTACTCTATTGATGGGTCTGTGCTATAAAGATGCTCTGATGTACGTGATTTAGGTATAATCTATGATCAAAAGTTAACTTTTAGTCAGCATATAAATAAAAAAGCATCAGAAGCATTGGCGGCTTATGGTTTCATAGTAAGGAATTGCAGGAATTTTCATAACATAAAGTCTATTAAGCTATTATATTATGCTTATGTTAGATTCAAAGTCGAATATTGTAGTATTATTTGGAGCCCTTACTATGAATGCTATAGCACAGCTATTGAAAGAGTACAACGGAAGTTTATGAAGTTTGTTCTGTTTAGGATTGATGGGACATATCCAGAGAGAGGTACAAGTAATGAGGAACTATGTAGTCGCTTAGACATGTTGACTTTGAAAAAACGTAGGTACTGTGCCTCAATAATATTTGGATACAAATGATCAACTATTTAATTGATTGCCCCTTGATCCTGGAACAGATCAAGTTTCGTACTCCAACGTTTGCATCTCGCAATCATAAAATATTCGGGCTTCCTAGAGCTAGGACAAACATTATTCTCAAGTCACCGTTATATGTAAACAGAATTGGATGTTACTGTGATATATTGACGACAAATGTTAATTACCTGCTAAAGGCAGCTAAGGCTTATTCGGACCAATAGTTCATGTAACAAATTTATACCTGTGTTGCATTTGTTGTTTTCTTTTCGCTTTTTTTTGCTTTTGTATTATGTTTATAAATTGTCCTATAAATAGGAAACTGTTGGACAATAAAGCTATTATTATTATTATTATTATTATTATTATTATTATAAATCGACAGGTTACAAATAGTTGTTTTTTTTTCGTTTTTTGTCATTTCGAACTAATCAGGCAATAAACAACTTAAAATCTGGAAAACGAGCTATTAACAGTTGAGTAACAATTCTTCGAAATAAACTAAGTCCACATACTTTTCGGACTCTTACAGGGGAAGCTTGGAGCTAAAATTAAAAATGGCCATTTTGGAGTTGTTGAGTTTATAACTTGAAAATTGTAAACTTTAGAGAAACGCTGCCCTTTCTGTCTAAAATTAAAACATTTATTCTTACAAATTTGCATCACCCTCTTGATTTATGCTAAGGGACATCCAAAAACCGTGTTTGATGAAAATGAGAGGTTATTACCCAGAATATGGGCAAAAATAAACAAGAATGTCACATTGTGATTTTGGGTAAATGGATGTTCTATTATTTGCGACCAAGTTTGGCCAAATGATTGAAATCTGACCCTACGACAGCTGGACTAAGCTAAAAATATTAATGAAAACGGTAACAAACTATTGAACTAGGTTTCAATCTTTGAAATAGGAAAGTTGGAGGGACGGACAGAAATATGTACATACATCAACACAGGAAACGTGACTTTCAACTGATTTTTTTATTTACACTTGCTCCTACATTTTAAAAACAATTCTCTTGAAGTGGATAATGGTTTTGATATGAATACAAAAATGTGTTTATATATAAAATCGCTATTGTTTACCGCAATGCCCTATTGATGCCATTTGTCTTCATAGGTAAATAATCAAAACAAAAACACCTAAGTAAATAATAATGTCATTTAAAATCGTATCCTATCAGTTTCACTGTGTCAGTTTAACAACTGAATTATTTCGAAATACTTCAGAACGATTGAGAAATGGGTAGTGTAGTTATCCTTCAATAACACCAGCACACCACAATTGAAAAGTGGTCTGTACGTTTGACTAGACTAACCCTCAAAATTTTGAGTAAATTGAAACTGAAAAACTGTTAAAACTTTTACTTTTGTTTCTCATGTATTTAAACGCACTGATTACGAGTCTGAAGTTGACTTAGCTTGTAGAACCTTGTAATTTCGAGCAAATCACAAAAAACTGTCAAAAATCGCAAAAATTGTAGTTATGCAAAAGAAAATGTTTTTCGAACTAGACCAAGTGTACATTTTACGTATTTTGATGTGCTAACTCCAAATCTGCTCGTTGACCATGCGATTTCGGAGTAAATTGCGAAAAAGCGCATCAAATCGCTAAAAAATTTGTGAGAAATGTCAAACAAAAATCTGCCATCATATTGACGTTCTACCTTCTTTGATACAGATTTTCCATTTCACTTATGCTTTGGTGGAATCTTTCTCCTTGTTCTTCAGTGTAGCTTCACGGTGGGTACTTTTTTGCAATTTACTCGGAATTTGTAGCTAAACCAATTTCAGATTTGAGTTCAGCATATTGAAATACATAAGAAATGCATCTGGGCCGTGAAACATTTTTTCGTTTGAATAAGTATAATTTTTGGCTATTTTTTGCGGTCTTTTACATTTTACTCAAAATTTGACCACGTACGGGTCAAACGGAACTCAGATTCAGCTGATCGAAATACATAACCCTAGGTATGTCTAGTAAAATGTACAGACCACTTTTTTTAGTTTTGTGTGCCGGTGTAATCATCATAATGTTTAAAACGACTTTTAATTTTAACAAAAGAGAACATTTGCACCTTTCTCCCTTTGCTGTCCAAACCCAATCTGCTGCCTCTATTGCATTTATGAATTTAAGCTTGTTAGTTTCACACCAGGTGACTAGGTATTTTGAAGTATATGTAAAATGTGTTCGAAATGTCACGATCGTGATGTAAAATCGCATATTTTGTGATATACATACAGGGTGTAAACGTTATGATAGCCAGAAAAGCGACTTTAAAGTAAAATAAAATCTGACAACGCCGCAATGCCAGACTCAAATTACGAGGGAACGCAGTGCGAATTATTATTTCATTATTTGATAATGTACTCATAAAATGCAAACAATTAAAAAAACGGACTTACCACTTACTGTCTCAGCGCTTCACCTGGTGTGTGAAAGTGTATTGTACTTATAAATAGGGAACACAATTTTAATACATACATTGTCTTTCTTTTTAAAACCCACACTGCACTTTTTTTGTATTTAAAGAAGGTGTTCAAAATGTCGTCCTCTACTTTCCACACAAGCTTTATTACGAAGATCCCAGTTTCTTCTTACACTAGATCCTCGAAGTTGTCCATTTATTATTTCAGCCGCATTAACATTTGTTGTGCTTCAGTTGTTATTGGACCAGCCCCATAAACCATCCCTTTAAGTTCTCCCCAATACCAGAAATCCATCGGATTGAGGTCAGGAGATCTTGCTGGCCATTTTCGAGGATCAGGAGCATTTCGACCGATCCAGCGATTTGGATAATGTTCATTCAAATACTGAATGACGCCTCTAAAAATGTGTGGTGGTGCCCCGTCATGAAGAAACTACAAATTCTGTCTCCGTTGTAATGGCATATTGTCTAAGGTCTGTTCCAAAAGTTCTGGTAGGTTATTGGCTAGAAAGCTAAGGTATCCTTCTCCTGACAACTTTGGGGGTAACTCACACTCAACGTTGCTGGAAATGACCTTCACGATTGGTATGAGGATTTTCTTGGGCCCACGTGTGTATTATGGAAATTTATTTATTATTTTTAAAAAAATCTGGATTTTCAATGTTTTTGTGCAAAAACCACTGACAGAATGTTAGTCTGCGAGGATAGTCTTCTGGTAACAAGGCCTGCACTCGTACATGGTAGGGATAATGTAAATTTTCCCTTAGAATTCTATGAACTATGGTATTCGATAGTCCTACGCGGCGACCTAATTCCCGAGTGCTGATATCTGCATTGATTTCCACGATATTTAAAATTTGTTCCTCCTGCTCTAAAGAAACCTGTCTTTCACGAGTGCGAATATCAGTGGGCTGAACACTTCCTGTATCTCGAAGTCTTTGGTACACTTGCTCAAATGTCCTTCTGTCTGGGTGTACCCGTTGGCGAAATCTGTCGCGATAAATTTAAGCTGCAAGATTTGATTTCTGACGAGCTTCACTGTAAACTAACAACATGTCGGCGAACTCTTGATTCGAGAACATCGTAAATAAACACGACGACGTCCGCGAATAACACGCCCGATGCTCTGCTCTACAAAACGATAAAGTAATTTATCTATGCATAACGATAACAACTAACCACTGTTACCGTTTGCGATCGATTGCCGGTTGGATAAGAGTGATGAAAGACCGACGCGCTGTTGTCATGTGTGTTTTAAATATTTAATTTAATGAAACTTACTTACTGACTACACATTTTTTCTTGACTTAGAAAAACTTAATGCCATTTATTTGTTAATTACCCAATTTAAAAACGTTTTAGATTAGGTTATAGAAATTAGTAAGATTGTGGTGATTGTGGTAGATATAAAGCACTTAAAGTTGTAAACTATAAAGCCATTTAGACAAAAATCTATTGACTTTTGGGCCATGGGTCATATGAACTTTTTGACCTGTTTTGAACCCCCTATTACCCATTTCAATAATGTTTACTCCCTGTATACTCGTAGCAGTGAAAAAAATTCTATGCGTTCTTCGTTTGAGAAGGTCATTCTTAAACTAAAAGTGCTCGCCAAATAATGGCCCACGTCTCAAACTCCGTATGTAATGTAGGCACTATTTGTATATAACTTTGACGTTTTCATCATAAGACTCAAGAACCCAATGATTTTCATTTGAAAAAGTATATCTTCACCGTTCCTTTGTTTAGAAGGCATATTTGGTATACTTATTCTAGAAGAATCTTGTTGATAGGATACAGAGTATAAGAGTTATTTGGTTTATTTTTCTATTTCCAGAGCATGTAACAAACAAATGTTTCTTTAGTTGAACGGATTCTAATTCCTTGAAACGTGGGAATCACCTAATTCATTCGAAGCCATATCTTTAACAGAATTTATACTCTTCATTCAAGCTTCATTATTTGTGTGTAACCAGAACCAATAATAAAAGTAACAAAATTGAAAGATAAAATGACGTATCATTTTATCCTTCAACAGTAGCTTTCCTGTCTCCCATAAGTTTATTGACTACCCATTCTAATATTCAGCGTTTACTTACATAATTCTTAAATCGGCTTTGAAGTAATAACATACATAATACCACTGCCACACGTCTCACAAATTATCATTGCACCTCTAAAAACTGATAAGATAAATATCACTTCAAAGTCACGGTCGGACTGCATTGGTTAAATATTTGCATGACAAATATGAATTACTAAATAACATCTCATGCACTTATGCTCACTAATATGCTTCTAGAAAATGGTGTCTGATAGCCTCATTTATGATATTGACAAATATTATAATATATTATTTCAAATATTTGTGTTAAGTTTAGAGCTTTTAGCGATAAATATTGAGCGATTACAGAATGTTATTTATGACTTTATATGTATAAAAAATCACATGAACTCTACTGTTTTCATTACTACTAGAAAGTAAATATTTGTAGATGAGGTTTATCTAAATTGGCCTACATGTTGAAAGTGAAACAGTAGTTGGCAGCTCTGATGTCAGCTTTAGATAGTGTGGATAATGTTTTCATAAAATCGAGCGAGGCCTAGGAAAATATCGCGAACATTATAGAAATTCTACGCCCTGCCCGAGGGTTCCTCAGGTCTGAATAATCAGTTACCCTTAACTATTAAAGGTATTTGATACAAGCCAATCTTTAACAGAAAGTTATGAAGCAAAAGTCTATTACAACTGTGTCACATCTTACTATACAAGGATGTGCCACTTAGGGTGGATTTCACAATTTAACAAACCATTATTCTGCACCAATAGTGTACGAGTTCCAAACAGTCCGTTAAATATACCCAATCAGCCTCAAGATCTCGCCGTCAAATTTTTGGCAGCAAATAGCATCAAGGTATTCAAAACGAAACACTGTAAAATATGAAGTGACAGCTTGCCATTGAAATCTTTTCAGTTTATTAAATATTATGAAATTATGTAAAACTGAGCCAAAATTTTTAAAAATGCTTGATGTCTGAGTAAAATCTATTTTTTCAGATTAGCTGAAGGTTTTCCATGTTTATTGCAACTTTTGTAATCCATATGTGATTATATCACCTACTGTGTGCTTATAGTTTATCCTACAATTGCAAAATTGCACTTCCAAATCCTTACATGAAAAAGCCTTTTCACTCAAATTTTTGTTAGGTAATGCATTTCAACACATTCATACACTTCTTTCCAGTTCCTCAACGATATTTTAACCCCACTGGTCCGAAACTGTTCAACAGTTTCAACATTCATACATACAATTTCAGTTTTTTGTTTTAATTTCAGTGTATAATCAGTCGCGCCATCGGTGACGGTACATTCAACATAACCACGTATTTATTGGTTAGTGCAGATTTAACGTGTACACGACAGTGTAATATGTATTTATTCACAAATCTTGGAGGGAGTACTTTTTTACGGAAATTTGTAAAAAAAATTCCATTGTCCACACATAACAAAATAAGTGATCACAAAACATAGAATACAGTGACGTCGGAGAAGGAGAATAGACCAAAGGAGATCGGAATTGACATTTGAAATTAGTGTCTCATAATGTTAGTGATGGGAGAATACATTTGCGATCACTGGAATGTATTGGAACGGTTAAAAAATATAAATTGAATTGCTTTTACGTTATCTCGGTTGTATTTATATTACCATTATTTGAATATAGCTGATTATTGCATTTCAAGAAGTGACACATGTGTTGGATCTGTCAACTCTTGGTACCAGTCACAAAACATATTATACTCTGAAGGTTTAATTACATGCTATTCAATGACAACACGTGATAGGGTTGCCAGATTGTGCTCTAATATCCCGTTTCACGCTCCTGGTCCCAATAGAGTAAGTTCCGCCAACTGTTGGAATATACTCTATTATGCGTTATAAGACTATTCGTGACATTTTTCCCAAAATCATTGCACAACACTTGAAAAAATGCAAATGAAAATTTAAAATTATTTCCATGACGCCGCAAAATAGCTCCGTCGGTACCTTGATAGATATATATATACAGGGTTATCCAAATTAAGTGTCCACCATTAGTAACTTTGTTATTAGTGAAAATACAAAGTTGTTTGAATTAGCAAACTAGTAGCATTTTTAACGCTGGTAAAAATGAGAAATAAAAAAAAACAATTGAGAGTCGTTATTTTGATTTTTTTCAGTAAAATAATATTTTTTTAAATGGAAACCCCTGTATATTATATTTTTTTCTGTTAAAACATCAAATTTTAAACAAAAAAGCTTACAATAACTTTTCTCCTAGGTTACAAATTGTTGAAGTTATGGCCTCCAATCTGAAACAATTAAATTGTATCGACAAACTTTATTTTCAACATCAACTTATAATCTTACAAAATACAATAACAATTTTTTTTAAAGAAGATGCTCGAAAACACTACCTTGTTCTTCAATACATTTTTGGGCACGTTTTTCAACTGCTCGAACTGTCTTAAGTATGGTCCTACCATCTATCTGGGTTATCTTTTCCCTAACTGCAGTCTTTAACGCGTCACGGTTATCGTACCTTCGCTTGTAAATTTGGTTCTTTAAGTAACCCCACAAGAAGTAATCAAGTGGGTTTAGATCTGGTGATCTGGGAGGCCACTGTATTGGGCCATTTGTTCCTATCCACTGATCATTAAAAGTAGTACTTAGAAAATGATAAGTACCTCTGGAGTTGTGGGCAGGTGCGCCATCTTGCTGAAAATGCAGATGATGTTTACTTATAAGATCCAATTCGTCTAAGAAATTAGTCAGAATTTCTGACATAAATTCCACATATCTTTCACCAGTTAGGGTTCCCTCATAAAAGAACGGGCCAACAATTTTTGAACCAATTATACCGCACCAAACGTTGAAACTGAAACGGACTTGTGGGCCTCTTGGATGTACTAACAAAAGATTTTCTCTTGACCAATAATGGTGGTTTTTTCTATTAAACATTCCAGAATTTGAAAAATTTGATTCATCTGTCCATAAAAGGTAACGAAAGTTATTTACATTTTGGCGACAGAAGCTAAGATACCAATGGCAAAAAACAAGTCTTCTCTCTGGATCCCCTGCCAAAAGCGTTTGAACTGGTCGGTACTTATACGGAATAAATTTGTATTTTTTTAAAATCCTTTGAACAGTACCATAACTGAAATTAGAGTCCTTGAGAATATCTGCTATTGGAATCTCACGATAAGCTTCAAAATATCCAATAACTGCAATTTCCGTGGCCTCGCTTATTATGAATTCTTTTTTTGCCCTTGTTTTAGCAAAAACATTTTCGTTGCCCCTAAATGTTCGATAAAGTCTCAGAAAATATCGTTCATACGGTTGAATGCGAGCGGGATATAATTCACTGTAGTATTCTCTTGCTCTCAAGGAGGATTTTCTGCACACTAAATAGCATTCTAACATATCACACTTTTCTTCATGGGAGAACATTTTTCTTTAAATTAATGACACAATAAAGCTTATAAACAAGTATTTACACTAATGTTTGACATTATTTGATTTTATCATTGTTTTCCAAAGCCTTCTAGCTGCGAGTATGTCCATTTTAACAATTTGTCGCTCATCTTAATGCTGTCAAATCGCGAACGCCATGTTGTTTTCATAGCCGTCTTAATATTATAATACTGCAAATAATTAAAAATATTTATCGTTATTTTGACTTTATTTTTGACTTTAGCGGAAAAGTCATTATGAACTTTTTTGTTTAAAATTTGATGCTTTAACAGAAAAAAATATAATATACAGCGGTTTCCATTTAAAAAAATGTTATTTTACTAAAAAAAATCAAAATAACGACTCTCAATTGTTTTTTTTATTTCTCATTTTTACCAGCGTTAAAAATGCTACTAGTTTGCTAATTTAAACAACTTTGTATTTTTACTAATAACAAAGTTACCAATGGTGGATACTTAATTTGGATAACCCTGTCTTTGAAGTTGAGTCATTAATTTTCAGATAATGATTGTAGAAGGAAGATAAACCAAAATATGTGTGTAAAAATAAAAACAAATTTTTACCTTATTTTATAAAGTATCCTCCCGACAAGTATTTCAGTGCGGACCTGTATTTGATCGTGAGGTCCCCTGTGAGGTCTTAAGTCACCTGATTCACAAGCCCGTTGTACTACATTAACAAAGGCACGAGGGGTTGGTTGCACTCGATTGGGAAACCGATCCGCATAAACATGTGCCATTTTTTATTTCGTTTGAGCCACGCAACACATAACATACCACTATTCACTGACACTAACTGTATACAAATGAATGAGATACCTGTAAAAACATCGTTCCAAATTCTTTCGCTTTTTTGTTTCCGATGCGATGAACCGATACGGCGGATTATATCCATTGTCGCCAAACACGACCACATAATATTGTTATTGAGACAGGGCGGTACTCAAACTTCCAAAGGGCTATAACTTTGTTACTTTAATTTTACCAGGAAAATGGTAAAGGAAAAAAACATTTCTTTTGATCAGATCTACTCACTGTTAAAATAAATGACTCAACTTCGAATTCACCCTGTATATATATATACATCTTGACAGTAGGGATGTTCGATAGGATCCTATATTTAGAAGTATCAATACATTTCACGAGTATCGTCGTCTTTCGATCCGGACTGTGTCAGAAAGAGTGACTGCCATTTGGCTGCGATATTACCCTGCCAAATCAGATATATCTTTCATCATTTTTAAAGAAATTGTACAAAATCTTAAAATTTGTGAAGTTAGCGAGTTTCACTTCATACGTTCTTACCAGACATGCCCAAGTCATCAGTTGCTACCGTGATATTCATCCCGACCACTGCATCCCCACGGCTAGGCGACCTGTATGTTAAATTTGTGTTGATAGGGCAGCGGGTTATGCTATAAATCATATGTCACAGTGTTTGTGCACTGATTGCAACGGTTAGATGATACCAAAAATATTTTCATAAATAGGAGATCTTTCCCATTCCGGATCGAACAATCCACCAAAGATGCTTATGATCATGATACCTAGTAAATTTACATGAAAAAACCTCTGCATGTAGGTACATAAGAGCTTTCTTATATTTGTTCATCAATTTGATGATACAACACGTCTGTTAAAAATGATCATAATCAGGATAGTAAACTATGACGAAGGTCCACTGTATGTAAGAATTTTCAGATACTTCATTTGTAATTTGACAACAGACCATGACGGTGTTCACAGTTTTCAAATATTCTTCAAGAAGTGTTAT